CCAGCATGCTCTTTCTCTCTTTCTCAAAACAAACAAACAAAATATTTTTTATAGAAGTCACCTGAAAAGTGATGATAGTCTTTGGTTCAAAATTGTATGCCTCTTTTTTAACTTTTCGGACCATGTGTGGTGATCATTAACATCAGTTTTGAGCATTCACGATCTAATACCTGCCATACTAGCCTTACCTACTTACTCTCCAGCCAGAATAGATACCCTGCTTCCCCCCACCTCAAACCTCCCACTTTTACCTCCATCTGGAATGCATTTTACATCTCATTTTATCCAAATGCAGACCTGTGCCTAGCTCTGTTGTCAGGGCCACCAAGAAGCTGGAAATAACCTTTGCCTTCTCTGAATTACCAAGCACAGTTATCTCTCTGGTGGCACTTAATGCTTTCCACTTTGTTATATGGTTATTTGTATATGTCTTGTTTCCACCAAGCACCTTTGACAGTTAGGACTGTGCCATACAGATCTCCACAGCACTTAACCTTGAACGAAGCAAGCACTTCAAAACACTGGATGAATGAATCTGTATACCAAATACACAAGTGCCTTCACGGGCTATTGTGATCTCAGGTTGTATAGCCCCTCGAGGACATGTCTCCAAGTTGCCGGACCTCTTTTGTCCCTTAGTGGGTCAGCTGTCTTTTTTTGCAGCTGTCAATGTGCAGCCGCTGCTTGCCCTCATTCTAGAATTGCTGTTGCTCGTCTTCAATCATCAGGAAACTAGAAAAACTTGAATTTTGCTTATTTAAAACAAAAGACTATGTATGTGAGCTCTTGAGGGACTTTCCTATGAGGAAATCTTTCATACACAGGCTTTGATCTTTATTTTGGAGATTCTGAGACTTTCTGGTTTTTGGCTGATTTTAGAGACCAGACTCAGGAAAATGGCTGTTGGGTAATACAGTGTTATATTTTATCTATATACAGTCAGAGCTCATTCAAAAGATAATTTATGGTGCTGTACATCAGGCACTTTGGGAGGGAGAAAATGCAGTCCCTGCCCTCAAAAAGCTGTCTTAGTAGAAAGCATTTTGAGTTTGTGCTAGGCATGTAGGTAGGGCATGAATACCTTTTCTTACTCAAACGGAATCATGAAGTTCTAGGTCAGCTAATCCCCAGGAACTGTGAACTGGAAAACAAGGTGGCAGAGCAGGGAGAGCTGGGGGGTAGGGTAAGATGGTGAGGGCTCTGGCTTTAGCTTGAGTTCCCCAGTCATGCTCACTTTTGGTCATTGATAGATTCTCTTTTTAATAGACCTGACCTGTCCATTTCCCAAGCCAGCCCCGAAAGAGCAGAAACAGATTATGAAATCAGTCCTGATGACAGATTGGGTTCTGGGGTTAACCCTGGGCACCTGTGTGCCCACCTGGTCCCTAGCCTTTCCCTACTTCCACTTAGTCAAATCAAGTAGAAGCGGGCTGAATGTTCTAGGACGCCAGGACTTGGAGCCCTGTCAAAAATCCTAGACCGCTTGTCTGGGACCTTGCCTAGTTTTATTCTCTTACATTTATTTTTGTCTGTATCGTCTTTAAAAGTGGAGGACAAGTTCTGTTTCGTTATTTTTCCAGATTAGGGATATTGAACGGTTAAGAATTCCTTAGAATGTCAAGACACTTCCTGCAGGTGGCAACTTGTGTGCAGGTCCTGCCTGGCGCACAGGCAGCAGGTCCCTTGATAGGGTGGCAGATGATGTCTGAGTGTGGGTGTACTTTGCTTTATGAACTAAGTATATTATTGAAAAGCATGCAGGTAGGTCAATACAGAAGTCAGATAGTTTAAAATGTGCTATTAATGGGTTTGTTCTCCTAGAACACAAATGAACTTTTTTATTAGTCTAAGTAAAGCATTATTAGGAAAGTAAATCTATTGAGAAAACAGTCAGCTCTTGACTATTCATGTTAATGTAACAAGCAGTGGTGTAAGTGTATTTTCTTAATGATATTTAGTTTGGAAATTACTAAAAATCTGTTCCTGCAGATAACAAATACCGTGCTGTACGCTTGCTCTGAGTCAGTTACAAATTGGTAGATCACTTGCTGTATCTCCTCCAACTATATAGACTCATATTGTCACATTTTAAAATCTTTTAGAGACCTGAAGCTGTTTTCCTTGGTTTCAAGGCTTCAGACAGTCAGCTTTTGCTAAAACACTTACCTTCTCAGCATGAGCTCTTTTTATCACTTTTACACTGGGCCTCTTGAGTTTGCTAGAGCTGCTTGAGAGCTTTGAATAACCATGATCTTGATTCATGATTCTCTTCTATCAGAGCTGAGAGTAACAACTTTTATGTCTCCCAGACTGAATTTTTAAAATACCCCTTCTAGATCCAAAAATGTTTTCAGATAGCCATGTTATTTAGGTTTTTCGAAATTATGATTTAAACCTCATGTTTAACTATGTGACAGATCCAACGTAAACTAGGTTAAGATAGAAGGGGAATTCATTGGCTTACGAAGTAGGAAGCCCTAGGGTGATGCCCCCTACAGTCACGGCTGGTTCCCAGGGTCTTAATGTGATCAGGACATTGTTTTTGGTGTTGGCTTCCTTCTCAGACAGGCAAAAATGGCCACCATCAGTGCTAGACTTACATCTACCTTATGACTTGCAAGCTGAGTTCAGAGAATGCCAGGGCAGACTCTAATTGGCATGGCTTGAGTCACATACCTGCAAGTCATGGGGAGTGGCCAGATCTCCCTGGATTATCTGTCCACTCTTGGAACTCAGAGGTTTAGGGCAGTCTGATCTGCACCATATGCACTAAGAATGAATGAAAAAGTGATTTGCCCCAAAGTAGGCAGACAAAAAAAAAAAAGTTTCTTGAGCTAGGATTTGCATGTTGATTTGTGAGATGTTAACAAGTTTCACATGGTTCCAGTTATTTGTTGCCATGTAACAAATCACTCTGCAAACTCACTGGCTTGAAACAACAAAAATCATTTTATTATCTCTGACAGTTCTAGAGATTGGCTGGGCTCAGCTCTGGGGCTGAAGTCACTTTGAAGGCATCCTCACTGTGGGAGCAGGTGCCAACCGCCAGCTAGACTTTAGCTAGGCTTCTTCGCAGCATGGCGGCTGGGTTCCAAGAGCAAGCCAGAAAGAACAGGGGAAAGCTATGTTGCCTTTTGTGACTCAGCTCACAAGTCACACAGTGTAATTTCTGCCATAGTCATAGACTTGCCTGGCTTCGGGAGTGAACACAGACCCCACCTCTTGATGAGAGGAGGGTCAGTGTCACATTGTAAGAAAGCATGCAAGATGGGAGAGCTTCATGTGGCCAGCCATCTTGGAAAATACAATCTGTTTTATACATTGCCTTACTTAAAGTGACTAGTTTTTATAAACAACATGAAGTATAAAATAGGCTTGGGGTGCCCTTATGTTGACAGGCTCACTTTGTTGCCCAGTGTACCTGTAGTATCACTAAGGAGCGCTCTGGCTTTCTTTCCACTCTCATTTCCTATTTTTAAATGATCTCAACCCGCTTTATGTATAGTCATGTTTGGTGGAAAAATCAGCAACCAGCCTGTCGCTATAGAAGTAAAAAACAGAAAGACCCTTCCTCTTTGCTTCCCTGGCACAGTCAAGGGTAGGAGGTGGGTGGGTCCCTAAGCTCAGCATCTAAAAGTTCTCCCTAGAACTTCCAGTGTATGATTTTTTTTATTGACTAGACTTCCAGCCAGTCCTCCTGTCTTGGCATCACCTTCAGTCTGCTTCCACTGGCACTCGTGAAGCCAGTTCCTGAGCCTTTGGGGAGGTAGGGGGCTTATATAGAAGTCAGGTTGTTTTGTCCATTGCTAGTTTAGGATTTAGCTCTCTGGGCTTGTTGAGTCAGCACTCATTCATTTTTCTGCTTACCAGCTTCTAAAATGCCACTGATACTTCTTTCCCATTCTTCTTGTCCTTGTGGGTTTATACATTTTAAACAGCAAATCCCGGGGTGCCTGGGTGGCTCAGTTGGTTAAGCATCTGAGCCCTGCGTCGGGCTCTGTGCTGACAGCTCAGAGCCTGGGGCCTGCTTTAGATTCTGTGTTCCCCCCTCTCTCTGCCTCTCCCCTGTTCTCTGTCTCGGTCTCTTTCAAGAATAAACAAAAATTAAAAAAAAAAAATTTAAACAGCAAATCCAAAAACTTTAGTGTCCGTTTAATGGGGTTTCAGCAGTGAGTGGGGGTAAATGCATGTGTGCGAGCGATCTATCACTGTCTATAGCTGGAAATCTTACCCACTCATACCCATTTGCCCCTTGACTTCCTTAACATTGCTGAAAGACTGGAATTTATTGGGAGCTTATTCTTTGTCCTTAGGGAATGCAGAATTCGAATTAACTTCTGCGGGATAGATATTCCGTCACTTACACACTGGGTCCTAAGTGTTACAAGGGTCAGTCCTATGAAGAGTGAAGGGGAGCCTGTAAATAGCCAGTAGCTGGTCCCATGTGTACATGTGTCCAGGACCGTTAGCTGAATGGGCATTTGCTCCTCATTGGACAGGTTTTTAGTCTGTGTGCCCATGATCAGAAATATTAAAAGCTTTAAAAGGCCCAAGCTGGGCCATCCACATCTCTTTTCATCACACCCTCTGTGCTCTTTGATTTCAGCTTTTCTAAGTCTTAACTCTTTCTTTCTTTTTTTTTCTGTAGGATCATGGATTTTCCTGGACACTTTGAACAGATCTTCCAGCAACTGAACTACCAGAGACTTCACGGTCAGCTCTGTGACTGTGTCATTGTAGTGGGGAATAGACATTTTAAAGCCCACCGATCTGTACTGGCAGCATGCAGCACGCATTTCCGAGCCCTGTTCTCCGTGGCAGAGGGAGATCAGACCATGAACATGATCCAGCTGGATAGCGAGGTAGTGACAGCGGAGGCCTTTGCTGCACTGATTGACATGATGTACACCTCCACCCTCATGCTGGGGGAGAGCAACGTTATGGATGTCTTATTGGCAGCCTCTCACCTGCATTTGAACTCTGTCGTTAAGGCATGTAAACATTACTTAACGACAAGGACGCTGCCCATGTCTCCCCCCAGTGAGCGCGTCCAGGAGCAGAGTGCCCGCATGCAGCGCTCCTTTATGCTGCAGCAGCTGGGGCTGAGCATCGTGAGCTCGGCCCTCAATTCCAGCCAGAGTGGCGAGGAGCAGCCAGCCCCCCTGAGCTCGTCGATGCGCAGCAACCTGGACCAGCGGACACCCTTCCCCATAAGACGCCTTCATAAACGCAAGCAGTCTGCAGAGGAGCGGGCCAGACAGCGCCTCCGACCCACCATGGAGGAGGCTGCCATTGCTGACGTTACGCCAGAGAACGGGCCGTCAGGGGTCCATTCTCGGGAGGAGTTCTTCTCACCAGACTCCCTGAAAATGGTGGATAACCCTAAGGCTGATGGAATGACCGACAACCAGGAAGATAGTGCCATCATGTTTGACCAGTCTTTCGGTGCTCAAGAAGATGCCCAGGTGCCCAGCCAGTCTGACAACAGTGCCAGCAACATGGCCCAGTTGTCCATGGCCTCTCGTGCAACTCAGGTGGAGACCAGTTTTGAGCAGGAAGCCGTGACCGAGAAAAGTGGTTTTCAGTGTGAAAATCCTGAGGTTGGCCTTGGTGACAAGGAACACATGAGAGTGGTGGTTAAATCTGAGCCCCTGAGCTCTCCTGAGCCTCAGGATGAAGTGAGTGATGTGACCTCACAAGCAGAAGGCAGCGAGTCTGTGGAAGTGGAAGGGGTTGTGGTCAGTGCCGAGAAGATAGACCTCAGCCCTGAAAGTAGTGATCGGAGTTTCTCGGATCCCCAGTCTAGCACTGACAGGGTAGGTGACATCCATATTTTGGAAGTCACAAATAACCTAGAACATAAATCGACTTTTAGCATCTCGAATTTTCTTAACAAGAGCAGAGGAAGTAACTTTAGTGCAAATCAGAACAATGATGATAACATCCCAAACACCACCAGTGACTGCAGGTTGGAGGGCGAGGCCCCTTATTTGTTGAGTCCAGAGGCTGGGCCTGCTGGCGGGCCCTCCTCGGCCCCTGGCTCTCACGTGGAGAACCCATTCAGTGAGCCTGCGGACTCCCACTTTGTCAGGCCTATGCAGGAAGTGATGGGCCTGCCCTGTGTGCAGACTTCAGGCTACCAAGGAGGAGAACAGTTTGGGATGGATTTTTCCAGGTCCGGTTTGGGCCTCCACTCCTCCTTCTCCAGGGTCATGATGGGCTCCCCAAGAGGAGGAGCCAGTAACTTTCCGTACTACCGACGCATAGCTCCCAAAATGCCGGTTGTAACTTCTGTCAGGAGTTCCCAGATCCCAGAAAACTCTGCCGGTTCCCAGCTAATGATGAATGCGGCCACGTCCTCGTTTGAGAACGGCCATCCTTCGCAGCCTGGCCCTCCGCAGCTGACCAGGGCATCTGCTGACGTTCTGTCAAAGTGCAAGAAGGCCTTGTCAGAGCACAACGTCTTGGTCGTAGAGGGGGCTCGCAAGTACGCCTGCAAAATCTGCTGCAAGACTTTTCTGACCTTGACAGATTGCAAGAAGCACATCCGTGTTCACACAGGTGAAAAACCCTACGCCTGCCTCAAGTGCGGCAAGAGGTTCAGTCAGTCCAGCCACCTGTATAAACATTCAAAGACCACCTGCCTGCGCTGGCAGAGCAGCAACCTGCCCAGCACTTTGCTCTAACCCCGACCTCCTGAGATCACGCCGACGCCAGCCGCGGGACCGAGGCCATCATCTCCTCTGGTTGGTGGTTCACGCCGTCGGGGCGGAGGCTTCAGGCCGCCCAGTGGCTCCGCAGATTCCTGTGGCTGGTACGTGGGGAGCAAGTACGTGTAGCACGTATGCTGCTGCATTTCCGAGCGAAATGCACACTTTTGGAGAGGGACGTGGTCCCTGAAACCAAGTTCTTCCTTAGGGTTGAGTAATTCAGTCAGAAAGTAGTTTGTAATTGATGGTGTGAAAAGTGGCACATTTAAAAATTAAGAATTGAAGTGCAAAAAAATTTTTTTAGCAATTTTTGTAAAACTCTGTGAAGCATTTAATTAAATTTCCTATATCCTCTGAGGGGAATATTATATATCTGTACGGTGATGCAAAATGCACTTACGTGTAACCAGTGGCGATCTCGTGCCTGTCTGAAAGGAAGGCCCTTGAGGACACGCCTGTCCGCCACGAATGCTTTAAAGTGTATCATGAGCTAGTCCTAGGCCTCAGAAAGTACTGTATTTTAAATTTCCGTCTCATTTGCAGTCACAGACACTGCACTTTGATGGTGCTGACACTGGGTCCAGAGCGAGCGTTCTCCGGACCGTTAGGTGTACATACTTTTGAAAACATCACTGCTGGATAGATGTTTGAACAATTTTTCCTGCTTTTCAAAGCAGAGCTGTAAATGGAGTATGTACTTGTAGGGAGTGACAAGTGAGGTATTGTTTCTGTATGTGCTGTTTTAGTGGGGTCTTAACCAACTTGTGTCACATATGTTACAGCTCCATGTTTGGAAGTCAGAAAAGAGCTGGTGTTTGTCTTTGTTTTAATGGTGTGGAGTCCTGTTTTGTGGGATCTTTCATGGCGCATTTACCCTGCGCTCCATCCAGGCTTCGGGGGCCGGGCCAGCCTGACACATCTCACCCAGCGACAAGCCCATTCTCTGCTTCGCTTCTTCACACTCTCTTGCCCCGTGTGGCATCTTTCCCAGGCCTACGTTACTGTTTTTGTTGCAGACTAACCAAAAATGATGTTAACCCCCTCCACCGTGGGTTTTATTACTTTTATATACTGTAGTTTTAAAGTGTAGACCTGAGCTTTTACTGTTGTTTCCCCCACCCAATACTGAATGTTTAAAATCCAAACGTAGCAGTGTTCCCAGATAACTCTTTTCCAGACTCTGTAAGAGAGCTGGGCAGCCCAGAGCATGGCAGTCACCAGGCAGCACCAGACACTGAGGAGACATCTGGGCCACTGCCCGGGGCCTCTCTGGGCCCCAGGGCCTCGCTTTCCCAGCCCCTCCTGCGCTGTCAGGGCTGCTGCTGGCACCTGTGTTAGGTCGAGCCCTGGCTTCTGTGCCTCGAGGGGGACGTGCCTCTGTAGAGCTCATGAAGTCAGTGTAATTCATGCACGAACAGGAGTTCAGTTTTTACACAGCTCATTTAGAGACACCAAACCATTGTGCATAATCGAGAGAAATCCTTCCTTTGTTTAGCAAGCTAAGTACGTGTAACCTGAAACAATCAGCATGGGTTTTCTCCCCTGAATCTAGCGTGTGCAGTTACACACCTGTCTGTGGATAAAATCCTAACGTTCAGAGTCGGGCTCAGCATCGACCTGTGAACTGAGCCCCAGGGAGAAAAGCCAAAAGAGAAACTTCTGTGATTCCTCTCCTTTCCAGATGTGGGAAAGAGACCGTCGGAGGATAGGGGATCACGTGTGTGTGGCTTTTGTCAGCGGTCTTGATGTGAGGAGGCTCTACATCTACCCCTCTACTTGACGTGGGGACCAGTGTCTTGTGAGGACATTAACCTTGGGAGGCAGGTAGGTCAAGGTGGAGCACAAGAGAGGCCCTGCCTAGGCCCAGGGAGAGGAACCGGTAGCAATGGGGAGAGCAGTGCCAGCCTCCTTTCCCTTCCAGCTTGAGGAGGAGGTGCCAGGAGGCTGCGCCCTCACCTCAGCTCAGGCTTAAGTGGACTTTGCTTTAGGGCCTGTCTCTGACACAGCGGCTGGAGCCCTGTCTCTCCACTGCTAGATGGAATCTGGAATCTCTCATCTACCTCTTAGTCGGTTTCTATGTGTGAGAAGCAAGCTTTTGGGCCAGTGTCCTCATACATGCTGTAGAACTTAGAAAATAATTCAGAGGTTCCCTGTAAAACCAGTCTCAGGGTTCCTATGATCCGAAGTTTCTACCTGAATTATAACTGGTATTGGGTACCTGGATTTTGATTGGTTAGCCTTAATTACAGCCTGGCGTAATCATTTCTGGTGATCAAATCATAAAGTTCTTTCAGGGCACCCCTGTCAATGGTGCTATGCTGGTCAAAATTTGAGATTTTGAAATAAAAAATTTGTCACATACATGCCTCTAACTAAACGTGTTCTTTTTCTTCACTTAGGTTATTAAGGTTGAAACAAGACAGGGAAGTAGTATGGCTTTCTCTGCTAATGCTGCCTTGACCGGTACTTTTTAAATAAAAAACCCAAACCTCCTACCAAACACTCCTCACGTGGTCACTCACAATTATGGGTCACTCCCCTCAGTTCAGTCCCTCTGCGCTCCCTGCACTCTGTCCGTCTTGGAGGCGAGGACATGCGTGAGGCTTTGTTCTCCGCACACCCTGTCCTCCTCTTAGACAGCCTGCTTAATCCTGTGCTTTCTGCCGCTCCCTTACCTGCCTCCCAGGGTGAAAGCTCCGTGTGCCAGTTTGGCTTGGCGGGGAAGAGCCAGAACCTGATTCCTTCAGCAGGAGCGGGGCTGTGGCCATGCAGGGCGCCTGGCCTCAGGAGGAATAAGCAAGGTGGTGATCAGAAAAAGGGCATCCACCTGGGGGTGGGGATGGCGGGGGAGATGGACAAAGGGAGTAAAGTGTGAAGGTGCTGACACTAATTTTAAAATAAAAATTAAATGCATCTACCTCCAATTATTCTTGACCCTAAATTTAGAGTGCTGTGACCTCACCCAGTTCTCCTTGCCATGTATATTGGCTTTGATGGTCTAGGTATCGGCCTGAAGTGCCATGATCACCGCTGGGCTCTGGCTGTCCCACCCTCAATGAGGGACAAGCGAAGGAGCTGAGCAGGAGATGAGGGGTAAGGTGTTGTGGAGAGGTTCTAATAACTCACATGTGGTGGTGGGGGGCGGGGGGCGGGGTGAGGGCTGGGGGCGGGGCAGAACCCACAGGTCACTAGATGTCCTGATTTTAGAAAGGGAAGCAGGTGCTCTGGTTAGCTTCTCCCAGTTACAGGACCACACAGTGTCTCAGACCATCATTTAATAGGATCACATACTTTTGGCTCAGACGATTCCAATCACGAAAGTGGCAAGCCCGTGTGTCAGCCCTGGTCTTCATTCCACAGGATCGGAACAGATCAGACTCTCCCTTGGCTCCCGTCCTGTGGGCCCAAATGAAGCCTACGCCCACTGACAGACTCCAAGGGCACCGCTGGCCTCCTGACCCTCCGGGACTCCTGTCTGGCTACAGCTTGAGTTCACTGGGCATCGGCTCCCCTCTCAGTCCAGCCAGCAAGTTGTTAGCTGCCAACAGGGACATGGTGTTTCGGGTTCCGTAGGTGGCACTGCCAATGTGGGGTAGGATCACTGGAAAGGAGCGGAGGAGAGGGAGGTAAGAAGGGTGATTCAAGAGCCTTAAAGCGGGCTCTGCTTTCCCTAACAGAGGTTGCCAGTAAGAAGAATAGAGAGGACCTGCCTTAGTGGTCTTTGATTTGCCTACTCTCACGTGCTGCACTCCCGTGGGGCTGTCGGAGTAACGGTATAGGGACTCGAGGCTACAGAAACCCAGATGCGAGGGTGGCAAGAGATGTGTATCCTAAATTTGAGGATTTTGAACCCAGAAGGGGTCTTGGAGCCTATCCAGACCCAGCCCTTCAGATATCAGATGGTGAAACGAGGTGCCAATTCAGCTTGGGGGTTTCAGCACTGGCCATCCACACCCGTGCCCCTGAACGTGGTGCCACACGGTTTCTCATCTACACAACTAACCAGAAGAGGAAACGGTGGACAGACCGGCTCCCTCTGGCCCCACCCACTGCAGAGCAAGTGAGGTCACTTGTTCTCAAAGAATGCCTTTCAAAAGCAGCACCCAGGGCACTGAACTGAACTCCCGGGCCTTGCGGGGATGGGACAGTCTCAGCTGTGGGCAACAGCCCAGATATGACAGCCAACGTTTCTCCTTTTAGCCTGGAGTGGATGCTGGGGCCAGGTTTCCAAGGGCTACGATAATGAGAGCATTCCCTGTGGGGAAGCAGCTAAGAACCTTCTCTTTGGGTTCCCATTCCAGAATGTAAATAAAGGACAGGGACTGGCTTAGACCCCCACGGTTCTGTATTAGTCTGGAGACAGAATCCACGCCAGCTACCTGGACAGAACCTACTATAAAGAACGTTAACCAGGTATAAGGGAACTGGAGAGGCTAAAAAGAGAACACTGAGGCAGCAGTTCTCAAAGTGTGGTTCCCATTTTTTTTTTAATATACACCCACAACTAAAGATACTGATACACAGAAACAACAAGCAAGATGGGGAAGGGTGAAGAATCAAGGCTAAGGAACAAAAGTAACATGAGATCTCTAAAGACTTCAGCGGGTATGCAGGATTGGATTATTTTGGTTCTTAGAAAGCAGAATCTAACTCAAGCTAATGTAAGTGGAGATCAGATTTTTCAAGAGGACTGGAGAGATCATGGAACGTGTAGAAAACCCTATGGTCAGCAAAAATCAAGAAGACGGACATGGAGAAAGCCCAGCTGAAATCTTCTCTTTTATGTTTCTAGAGATCATTGCACCGACTCCTGTCGAGTTTTCAAAGGCTCGGAAAGGAATGTTGCACGGGCTGAGCTTATGCACTAGTTGACTGAGATGAAGGACAACCAGAAGATGGACTTTTATCAAAACGCACACGTGTCTTTCACATTTTAGATGTGCGTGCAATGTAACTTTTAAAAATCCTTAACTCCT